GGAGTCTGCATTCCATTTTCCCCCTCCTCTCCCGCCCTAGTACATTGGCAAGCAGGGATGGAGAATAGAATTGGGGGCTCTTTTGAAGACATTTATTTTCAGCTCCTTCTCTTATTGTGTTTACGTATATTGTCTTAGAAGGAAAGTTTCATTAAAATTAGATGGATCTACTTTTGAGCAAAGACCGCTTTGGGCTCATTGATGGATAATGATAGGCATTCCTTCTATCCTAATTATGTAGAACACAACCTTAGCGATGGAGTCTAGAAGGCATTCTATTGGGGGAGATTGCATTATGTATTTGAAAAACCTACAGATCAGAAAATCTCTGCTGGGTGCATACATAATGTGTGCCGGAACCAGAGGAAAATCTAAATGGTAGGAGCATTTCCTGATAGAAAATGTAATTTCTTCTGGCCTAATAGTTATTGATCCAACATCTTTTAATAGGTTTTTCCAAGTAAAAACATTCTCATTTACATGCATATGATGTAATACTTCCAAGTGATACATGCAAAGATCTGCCTCTGTCTGCTACCAATTATTGATGTCTGATTAAGACTGGCTTCTATTCTTTTGGTTACCAATGCAGTGCTTATTGGCATTTTGATAAAGGGAAGCATGAAACATCCTGTCCACTTAGATGCATGTTTTGCTGTGGAATTGCCCAACAGAAGGCATTTTGTAAACAAAGCATGAACAGGCATCTGCTAAATTAAAAACATTTACAAAGCATTCTAATATCTAAGACTCTTTTCATTCATGAATAATGGTGAGAACTGGACCTGTTTGAATAATCGTAACTCATTTTTGGTCCTATCTTGCAAGTACAGGCTTGGAATCCTGCTGCTTACTTCAGTTAAATCATCTTAGGAGAACCCGGCCCGTGTTGATAGGGCTGTGGTGCTTGCACTAAGCCAGCTGACTGAATTCTTAATAAATATGAATATGTCTCGCTTGGTCATTCACAGAGTTTAGAATTTTGTGCTCGTTAACAGGAAGCAAAGCAAAAGGAATTAAAATTGAGGAAGAAAAGAGTGGCCGGGTAGGAAGCTAGTTGTACAATGGAGTTAAATAGATGCTTTTCAATTTCCCACTTTAGGACTCAGAGGGTGAGGCCCAAAGTCACCCAACTTTAAGCCTAAGGAAGGAATAGAATCTGGGTCTCCCCTCTTTTAGCAAGCACAGTAACATACACCTTGCTGGCATTCTCTTTTTCTCTAACATATGCATATTTATTTATTTATTAAATTTATATGCTGCTCATCTCCCTGTCGAGGAGACTTTGGACAGCTTACAGAAAAAGTAAAAAGATAAATATAGAAACAATTCAGTTTTTTTTTTAAAGAAACTATATAAAAATGGATGGCACTGGGATGAGATCATTTTACCCAAGCATCTCTAGTGGTGGATGCCTACAGCAGAGCCTCAGGCCAACTGGCAAAACCAGGTTTTGATACTTTTCCAGAAGGCCAAAAGGATGGGAGCAGTTCTCACCTCTGTGGTAGAGTGTTCCACAGGACCAAGGCCATAGAGGAGAAGGCTCTTCTCCTTCATCCCACCTACCAGAATTCTTTAGTAGATGGGGTCCATAGTGGGTGCTTTTCTGTGGGACGAATGGAGCAGGTGAGTCCCATTGGATTGTTGGTCATTAGTCCTATTTATATGCTTATATGTGTAATTGTATAAGACAGTAAGGAAGTGCATGGTAGATATGGTTGCAATGAATTTCAGTTCTTGTAAAAAGTTATAGTCTATTGCACACAAGTTAGCAAAAAAGAAGTTTTAGTTCACAGACAACTGGTTAGTTTTTATAGTGTTGTTTATATCTTGTGTCTTTTAATTAATATTAATATCTTTCATTGTTTTCATGATCTCTGAAATAATTTTAAATAGTGCTAAAATATACCAGCCACAATGCTGTTCAGAATTTACTTGCTGTATTCTTCTTTAATTTGTTTGCTATATTATTCTTTAATAAAATGGTAGCTCATGATGCATATTTCCCAGTGGTTACATGGGCCACGTAAACTGTACATAATAGGTTTAAATGCAATGAATAATGCATCTTGGCATAAATTTAATCACAATAATAACCCAGTAACAGAGGAAAACATTCAACATTTGAATTTACATAATGGAAGAATTCTAATGAAGATGCCACACAAGTAAATTAGTACATGAAAATTTGTCTTTTAACTGTTATATAATTAATTGGTTTTAACAAGAAAAAATAAGCACCTGTTGAATAGGTTGCAGAGAACATTCTATCAATGTATTAAAATGACTCTACGTTTGCATGTGCTGATTTGGCATTTATAAGTAAATACCTTTTTAAATTTCAGCTTTAGTGTAAAAGACATCTGGTTTGATATTTCAATTTTCATCATGTACTAAAAACTCTAACATTCTGACAAATAAATTGAGTTATATTTTCATGCATTACTTCCTTTAAAATGACAATATGTAACTTGATGGTTACCATCTAGATTAGCTAGAATGTTAATGTAAGGCAGTATGCAAGAATGATGGAACAAGACCAGCCCACTCTCCATCTGTTTCTTTTTTATCATTGTGCCCGAAGCTTTGAAAGCAACTTATTGCTTCACATATTTTAAAATTAATCTTTTCAACAAATATTTTGTCAAAGCTGCTTAATAATTTCTTCCAATTGTCTGTTTGTCATAAGAGAGAGTGGACAATTGAATGGAATGTATCCGTGAAGTATAAAAATGGAGAAGACTTGCATGTGTATTTCTGGCTCTTTCTTTGTCTCTAGTAGTTGACCAGCTGTGAGTACAGCTGCTTCAAATAATTATAGATAACCAGTTATTTTCTTCCATAAATTTGGAATATTGATTTCTTACTGAACTCAAAATGTTTTCGTCAAACATGTGATACTCTTTAATGCTCCAATCATACAGCATGTAGCTTGCCTTATTACAAGATTTGTTATCTCATATGTTTTCATGCAAGCTTCTACTTCTACTAATTTATCTGGGAGTTTCTATGATAGGAAGATTATTTTCTATATTTTTCAGCCTGGTTTATTTTCTTGTCTTGTTCGTGATTTTTAAATCAGACTCTTCTGGCTTTTGATCTGATTGAATTTCTGACTGAAGCCGGAATCTTTCTATTGAAACTGCCATAGGAGGGAAGAACTGAAGAAAGGATCTAGGCAGGGCCTGTCCAGTGCCGGGGAAATCAGGAGATTCAGGCAGTTCAAATGAGTATAAAGATTTATTGTAAGCTTAAGCTCTCTACAAGAATCTGACCAACTAGCCATTAGGGGAAATGAGCAGGAGATAAGAGAGGCATTCAAGGTGGGCTGGACTTAGCTCTCTTGCAGGCATACAGAGACTCATGATTTATGACGTGTTTGACCCCTCCCTTAGGCTCAGCCTGGTCATCTCCTCCAAGGCCACTGCTACCACTTGTCAAGTCTATGGAGATTCTCAGTCATCCAGGTCACGGTTGTCCCAAAGGTGCTTTTTCTGAAAGGCAACTGAACTTTGTTTTTCCTTGAAGACATTTTGCTTCTCATCCAAGAAACCTCTTCAATTCTGACTTAACAGAGCTTAATGATTGTAAGGAAAATGGCAGACTCAAGTAGAAAATGGAAGCCTTTAGCCCTCATGCATGATTAGAGTTTTGTAAGTTATAGTGTATGCAGCGTCTAATAGTCAACCAAACCAAACTATTGTCAGAAGGTCTTTTATACCATGAAGCATGGAAACTGCAGAAATAGGCGGGTAGGCTAAGCATTTGAAGTAGCTTTCTAACTCCTCCAAAATTATTTTCCTCTTACATTTTTTAATTAATATATCTAGTAGTCTTGCCCAGTATATTTAGTTGCTTCTCCTATAAAGTTCAGCCACAAATAGAAAAATAAAAAGAAGGAAGAAAATTTGATGAATGGAAATTAATTGCCTTCATGCTTCTCCAACGTATAGCTTTTAGATAAATTAAATTTCATTTATTAGATTTTTATCCTGCCTTTATTACATTTGTAACTCTAAGCAATGAGCATACATAATACTCCTTCCTTCCCCCCCAAAAAAACAACAGCCCAGTGAGGAGGGCTGGCCTAAAGAAAAGGGCTTTCATGCCTAAGGCAGTACTAGAACTTACAGTCTCCTGGTTCTAAGTTAGCACCTTAACCACTACACAAAACTATTTTTCAAGTAATTTCTCAGATTTCATATCAGTCCAATGTTTCAATCAGTGTGTTGGAAAAGACTGCTCTAATAAGAGCAATATTTAGTATGTCTTTCATTTCATTTCAGATTGCAAATTTGAGGGGGAGGGGTGGAATTCCTCACTATATGTTTCTATATATTATAACTAATATGTTGGGAGATACAGCATTCAGATGTTGATGCAAAACAAAATACAACACTTACTAGATGGTGAGGTATTTGGTGTGAGGTGAACCAGCATGAAGCTGCCCTTAGTCTCTCCAGTCGGTGATCTGACTAAATCTTTGGTAATGTACCAACATTATGTGTCTGTTTTATACATTAATAAGTCTGCTTTGCCAAAGATCAGTAGTGAAGCTTACGGATATGTGATCAGTAATAATGAAAGGAAGTATCTGGATAGATCTTTCAGATGAGATTAACATTCTGTATTATCTTGCAATTTTATTTAGCTAATTGATTTAGGATTGTAGGGTTCCATTTTAGATACTTTCACAGATTCAGTAATATTTCTATATAGAGATAATTTTGCTATGAATAGATGGGGAAGAAGCTTAAAATCTATCTCAGCTAATAAGAAAATTTCAGTCTTTAAAAGATACACATAATTGAGAGTGGATTTAAAATTTGTGAGAATAGGTAATGTGTGACTTTTTTTGTATGAAATCATATAGTATTGTGAAATTTTGTATGGCTAACGCAGCACATGTTATACAGATAAAATAATGCAAGCAGCTTGTCTAGCATTCAATATTTCCTCTAATATGATATTTCAGTGGGTTTTTTTCCCTGTTTCTGCAGAATTACTATGGAGCTGCCAAAATGATATTTTCTGACAATCCACTTGGACTATCATGTGGGATGGTGTGTCCAACTTCTGATCTTTGTGTGGGAGGATGCAATTTATATGCCACTGAAGATGGACCAATTAATATTGGTGGACTGCAGCAATTTGCTACAGAAGTAAGTAAAATGTACATTTATTTTTCCTTCTTCTCTATGCATGAGATTTTTCAGTAGTTCTTTTCTTTTGGAACCTAATTAAAGCAGATGTGATAAGATTCCTTTTCTTCATATAGAACACAAAACAGAGAGTTATTAGCAATTAAGAAATTAGTTTTGTTCTAAAGTAATCCCTGCACAACATTTATAAAAATATAATTTATTCAGGTTTTCAGCCCCACATATAACTTTCATGATAGATTTACAAGTATAAATTTAATTGGATCTACACCATGTTAGTTACATTGATTTTTTTTTCATTTTCATCATTATTTCACTTATTAAACTAAAATTCAGCTACCATAATCTGTATTCAAAATGTAATAATTCTAATGGAAAATAAGAGGCATTAACAAAGTCTCACCTGTAAGAAAGAAAAGACTCAATAGGATGCTCAGACATTAAAAAAAAAAAAAAAAGGCAGGCCGATGCCACTACTTGAAAAATCCAATGTTTTAGTCACCTGAATGTCAGACATGGAATATTCGAAAATGATTTTGAAATATTCTAGCCCTAAGTCATCAACATCTTTGAAGGTAACTGTAAGGACGTGCCCCAGCTAGACCTCTCAGGAAAGCATGACTACCATGTGGTTAATCAAAAGGAATATCAAGGAATATCCAAGGAATACCGAGACCTCAGAGATGTGTTTAGCAAAAAGGCCTCGGATGAACTCCCAGACTTACTGAGTGTGCTATAGAAATCTCACCGGTGCCAAGCTGCCAAAACAAAAACTGTACTCAATGACACTCAGGGAGCTGGAGGAACTGTGATTGTTCATTGATTAAAAACTAGCCCAAGGCTTCATTCAACCAGCCTGTCTCTGGGTTGCAGCCCCAGTCCTGTCCCAGGAAAAGAAGGACGGATCCCTTTGTCTATGTGTGGACTATAGAGGGCTAAACACGGTCTATGTAGAGAATGTTTACCCCCTGCCTCTGATGAAAGACATGCTAGTCTACCTGGCCAAAGGCAAAATCTTTACTAAACTGGGAGGTATATTACTATGTAAAGATCAGAGAGGGGGACGAATGGAAAACTCTGTTCAACTGCCCACTGGATTGTTTCCAATTCAAGATGCTACCTTTTGGGCCGCAGGGGGTCCTATGGCTGTACTCATGCAATTGATTAATGAAGTCCTACATGAGTAATAATTACAATTTTTACATTTGTTTCCAAGAAACAGGTAGCTAGTGCTGATTTAATAATACAATACTGAATATCATGCTGAAAAGTTTTATACTCAAAACTACAAAAATTGATCTGAATATGAGAAAATCAGTTATTGCTTTATTAGGACTGAATTTGAGCATACCACTCTCATTTGAATAAGGTTGAATTTTGTGAGCTTCATTTTTTTGTTGAAACTTTCTTGCTTTACAAAATAAGACTTTCATTCAATTACAGTCGGCATGCTATGATAATGAAATTGGCCTTATTGGTCTTTGTTTAAGTTTTGGTCACTTACAAGTTTATATTGAATTTGTTATTATATAGTGTGCTACTCACAAATCCATTACACTATTAATTTTTGGAATAAGCAACTTTTTTTTCAGGCACAGAAAGGAATAAACAATAGTAATCAAGTAAATTGAAGGATGAGATCAGCTAAACCAGGGGTCCCCAACCTTGGCAACTTTAAGATTTGTGGACTTCAACTCCCAGAATTCCCCAGCCAGCCATACTGGCTGGGAAATTCTGGGAGTTGAAGTCCACAGGTCTTAAAGTTGCCAAGGTTGGGGACCCCTGAGCTAAACAATCCCATATGCCTCTCTGTGCATTTTCTTTTATTCTTTAAACTTCTCACCTTTCTACATGTTATAAGGTTTTCTTCATCAAAACTCTTTTTTTTTTTGGTCTCTCCCTTCCTCTGAATTCCTTCCTTCCTTCTTCATATAATTGCTTTGCATTCCAATCTCTATTCATTCTTTCTGTATTGCTATACCACCTCCATAAAGGTTTTTCATATTGGTCATACATTTTTCTATTCAGTATACATTCATTCCATGCATATTCATTCTTAACTCTATCTCTTCTTGTTTTATTATTTCCCCTGCCCAAGTATCTAATTCTTATTACATTCAACTTACTTTTATGGAGTCATATCAGCTCTCACTATCATGTAACAAAATAGGCAGAAGCACACTCCTTTGCACAGCTATTTTCACTTATTATGACAAACATTCATTCTTTTCATACTCTATCCAACCCCTTTCTACCATCTTTTTCAGGTTTTATAGTTTTTCAGTTTTTGGACTTTTTAGTAAACATTTTTAAAAGCCACACAAATTCATCTTTATCCTTTATCCTGTTTTTGCCATGTATTACATTGTCATTCTCTCCATTCTTACTACCAAACACAGTGACTTTGATCTTTGACACATTAATTTTCAGATCTATAGCCCCTACTGCATTATGTAATTACCTGCAAATTATTTGGATTCTCAACCATTCATATCTGCATACAAAAGTACACGTACATTCATGGCAAAAGCGTTTCTTTCAATTTCACTCTGGCATCACCATCATTCCTATAAAAATCTCTAAATACTACTCCTAGCATTTTGTTACTTTACTTTGATCTCAAATCTTTTCATCATTTTTATTTTTCATTCCGTGCATCTCCTGGAAGCCCTAGTTTAAACTTCTTCACCCACTTTCAAAACAATTTTATCTTGTATTTGCCACTTTTAATATTAACTATTTTTTCACCACAATCTCTCTCTCTCTCTCTCTCTCTGTCTGTCTCTCTCTCTCTCTCTCTCTCTCTCTCTCACACACACACACACACACACACACACAAAGAGAGAGAGAGAGAGAGAGAGAGACAGAGACAGAGAGATATCGCAAGACCCTCCTATCTTTTTACACTTTTGGAATGCTGTATAAATCTCTCTCTTTCCTCAAGGACTGGGATATAGTGAAGTTGGGTGACTATTTTGGCGGCATCAAGGAAGTTTAGTTCTGATGCATGTTTATTTGATTTTATTTTTATTCTTTTTTGCTTTTATTTTTATTATGATATTTGATTTTATATAATTGTTGTGAGTTACCCAGAGTTTAGTTATAAGATGAACAAGTTCAAGCCTTTAAAATAAATAAATACCTTTTTTGTAGCAATCATACTTTGATGTTCATTTCTTCTCATCCTTAGCTTCTTTTATTTCATCATTCACCAAGCATCATCTTTCCTACTTCCTTTTGGCATAACTCATCCTCCCCCTTTGATATTCTGTGATATGGTTCTTTTCAGCTTGTTCCAGGCAACTTCCGCATCATATTTCCTTAGGTCTCTTTCCCCTCAATCTGTTGGGAGATTAATCTAAATTCTAATACATTTTATTCTAACTATATTCTACTTTCAGTCTCTTTTTTCCCATTTCCTTCCTTTTTGTCCATATCTATTTTTCCAAAATCCACTTTTGCCCACAACTAGAATACCTTATCGGTCTTGTATCCTTCATAATTCTCTCATTCATAATAAACCAAAAATATTCTGTACTCTCTCATCTCCTTCCAACCCATTTATTCAAGTCTCCTAGTAGGGTACTGTTTTCTGCTAGTTAACTTACTCGTAGAATGTTGCACTGATTTTTTCAGAACTCGTATCTGGTTCTTTCATTATCACATTTGTGAGAATATAACATCTGGTTGTCCACAGCGTTTATGTTTCTGCTTTTATACGCATCTATAAGTAGATGATACTGTCTAATACCTTATGATGTATGTTTTGGTCCATTCTTTCATAATTAAGCTTTCTTTGCATGCATTCCTCAATTCCATTCCATAGGATCAGAACATTTTCATTCACACTCATAATGTTCTTCCTCTTACTTAGTTTCACAGATGCACATTTGTTTTTTCACTCTTTAGTTTCATTTTGTAGTTAATGATTTTTACTTTAATGAACCGTGCTGGCACAGTGATTAGAATGCAGTATTTCAGGCTAATTCTGCTGACTGCCAGTAGTTTGATTCTCACTGGCTCAAGGTTGATTCATCCTTCCATCCTTCCGAGGTTGGTAAAATGAGGACCCAGATTGTTGGGGGCAATAGGCTGACTTAGAGAGGGCTGTAAAGCACTATGAAGCTGTATATAAGTCTAAGTGCTATTGCTATTTGTATTATTAATAAACAAACAACAAATAAATAAATATTTATTGGCTGCCCATCTTATCACAGGGCAACTGTGTGTATATTACAATACATTCCATGTCTCAGTTTTTCATATACCACAGCTATCACCAGATAAGCCCATAAATATTGGCCCCTGCCATCCGTCATAGTTTTGGTTAGTCAAGGCTTTCACATACTGTTTTCATAGTATGATAAAGAAAGTATAGATAAAGTTACCAGCTCAGAAGAGCTTGAGCTACATGCAGCATTCCCTGCAAATAAAAAGAACAGTACTGGTCAGTTTAGTATATATTGGTCAGTGTGGTACAAATTCAACAAAAACCTAATTTATCCCAGTATGTTTGCATTATTCTATACAAGCAAAGATTACTAATCTAGAACCTGTCTTGAATGCCGTTACGCTGTTGTCTGCTTCCTGTCAAGTAGAACATACATGCAGTATACTGATACACATTCAGAATGCATATAGCTTGCTGCTTTCATTTTTCAATATGCCAGTACTGACCTTTTCTGCTTTAGGATAGGTTGCTCTTTTATTTCTACATTTGCCAAGTTCCTAGATTCTATCTATTTACTCATACAAAAATCTCTTAGGTGTCTGTGGGAGGGCAAGTGGGGAGGGGACTTAAGTAGCAAAAGGTGCAGCATGATGCCTTGATGCAATCCTACTTCTTATATACTAACATCTGGGAACAGAAGTACGGAAGGGTGGGATTAGCATTGTGATATTATGACATACATTTCATCCCTTTTCCATTATTGTGGCTAGAGTGCATATTCCATCATCACGATTCAAATCCCAGAAACAACATAACTCTGCAGTAATTT